ATGCCCTTCCTGACGCCAAAGATCTCCATTTATCCGGGCTTTGGACCGGCACCGAGTTGTGCTGGCTTGCACCCCCAGTGGCTGGGTTGAACTTGAATGAGCATATGTATATTTATTATTTCTACGTAGGAATTAGAGCCATTGTTCATTGTTCCTAATGATGAGTTACAGAGATAGGCATAATTACAAATTGGTAGTAACTAGAGACTAGATTATGAAGGATGGAGAAATCTTCAGGTTTGTCATATCATGATATTATTTTCACATTTGCATATTATTATATTCGTCGTGATTAAGGTGAGTCAAGCGTCCTCGTTCAGACGATTATTATGGTGATTAATCTGGCCATTTTTCTGTAAATCTCTCTTCTTCAAGAAATATAAGTAAATACATACAATGCAACCATTAAACTTAGGATACACCCCAGTTATAAAGGCACCCGGACAAAATATTCAACATGTTCTGAACGAAACAACAACCAATCTGAATAGCCACGACAAGGTTAGAGTCTGCATATTTTTCTACTTTTTTAAATAAACTACTTATTTAGATAAATCAGTCAGTACCTGTCTTAATAATAAGGATGTATTTTTAGCCAGTATGATTTCATCTAATTTTGAAAAACTTTACCAGAGTAAAAATAATTTGCAATTAGACAACTCGTTCGAGATTCGGGTAAAAGTTTTAGAATTACGTGTTGAAAGGGGTGGTGATAGCAGAAGCATTAATATTAGCATAGATAGATTGAAAAATGGTCTGTCGTGGCCATTAACAATGAGACAGCCTTTGTTGTGCGAAATCGATTATGGTTGCTTTAGTTTCTCTCCCAAATGGCCCTAAATACAAATGAATTAGTAATCAATGACGACCTTTTCTGATACACCTGACTGGGGAACTGGATTAAAAAAAAAGCGGACGTCTCTTTGGGTCCCTGCAGTATTAAAGTGATAGTCAGGTTCAAGCTCCATCTAGAGTCAAAATTCCTAATGTATATCATTGGATAACTTGAATCGTCTTATCTTCCTTCTTGTCACGAGAAGAATTTTTATCACACTAATCATTGTTATGAATAGTATAAAAGGCATCCATGAGGTACGTTTTTGTTGCTAGAACTTTGATAAGGTTTTTACAAATTTAAATAAACATCATTGTTGTACGTATTGTAACATCTGTTACTCTACCAATTATTAAAAAAAAGTAAAACGGCAGAGTGCATATTTTTTCATCGATTCTCTAAATCAACAGACTACTAACAAACGAAAAACTAAACTTGTTTTCTGTAAAAAGTTTTATCAATGTTTAAAAACACATGAGAGAAAAATACTTTCCCCTAGTGACGCAGCGGAAAGTCTCGGAACTCACACCGCTGAAACCCTGGTTTTGATACTTCTGGTGGACACAGCATAGATAACCCATTGTGTAGTTTTGTGATTAACAACAGATAAGAAAAAAATTGTTATATGTGTGTAAAAATATGTTTATTTAACAAGGTAATATCTAATTTTTGTTTCCAGTTCACTTTTCAGCTATTGTAATTTTGGCGTCGATACATTCCGACGGTGCTGCCTTTAGCCCAAGGATGAGTTTCTTTCGACGTGTGTGATACTGATCCCATTAGATACACCACCATTGCTTCCGTATGTATAGCGATCTACAGGGGCAAGCTTATCCCTCCACAGTCCATCACTATGATTCCCAAGCATGGCTATAATACATTCAACAACTATAGTCAGGTCAGTATTCAATAGTTGGATTTTATCCACAAATCTCATGGGATCGCCATTCAACAGGACCTAAGTGGTGAAGAAAAATAAATTCTCAATAACAGAGTAGAAGGATTCTGCAGTGAGCGAAACACCATCTACGAGTCTTACGCGTGTTAATATCACGGATGTCACTGGTGCTACGACTCGTTTAACAAGAAACGTTGTTTTAAACTCACCAAACTGGGTGCTAAGAAAACGAATCCAGGAATAACAGCAACAACAGTGAAGCTCTCGTGTAACAAAATGTCGTTACCTGGAAACTAATTTAACACAGTTTCTCATCTTGACGTCTATGTTGTTCATTATGGATCCGTAGTCAACGTCACCATACTGTACGATGTAAAGGACGAAGAAACGTCAACTTTACATCATTCTATCCTTGAGCCAATATTCACTCTGATTAACTTGTTAGTCAAGCAATTATAAATACAACTAACGTTTGTAATATAAATTCGTATTTTGGATTTGTCATATACAAAGTTGTATACGAAAGGAAACTTTATCATACAGTTCTCTCTTTAAGAAGTCGTGAAAAATTAACTTTTTCTCTGTGCAAAATCTGTGTAGAAGAATGATCACTACTCCATGTCAGCACTTGGATATAAAACGAGCTTTTACTGGAACGTGGGTGACAAAATAAGCTAAGAAAGCTCTTGAGTGCGGATACCATATAATAGGTATTTAGGAAGTTTATAATGTTCCTTGTAAATCTTTTAATCTTTGCCGAGAATATACACACACACACATATATATATCTACCTTTTTAATGCTTAAAGAGGTAAGATCTGGATGGTCTCAACACTGCAACACACCAGGATCTCAACAAGCCAATGTTTAGCTAGGTGATGAACAAGAAGGTATTTACCTGCGTTTTGAACATATCCATGCTAACTCTGGTAGAAGATCTGTTTCTGAAGTATGTGTAAACTCATTTTGGGGGCCTTTGGGATAAGTTTAAAGACAACAGTCAACTAACGTATGTACCATCTGAAAAGCCTCCCAGTTGCATAGTGGTATGGTTGCGGACTTACACCGCTAGAAACCGGGTTTCGATACCCGTGGCTGTTGTTGTTCGTCCTTCGAAGTTCGAAGAAGACCACGACATCATTTGGTCTATCTGTGGATACGGAGATGGCTCAGGAGTCCTATCTGAGCCAGGAAGCCTCGACCACATTCCCGGCATACATGGCTTGGTGTCCCGTTCTGAGTCGACCCACCCGATCCTTCCGAGCTGCACGCTTCCCCTCGGCAACCAATCGACATTTACATTCTGCTGTCACCAAACCCTGCCGGACCTTCGTTCTCCAAAGAAATCTATCCTGGGCGAGCGACTCCCAGTTCACATGGTTGATGTCGAACTCTTGCAGGGATGGTTTTAAACAGTCTTTAAAACGTTTCTTCTGTCCTCCAACCGATCGTTTACCTTCACTAAGTTCACCATAGAGAACTTGCTTCGGTATTCTATCAGCTGGCATTCTCACGAGGTGACCGGCCCATCTGACTTGTGCTTCATGGAGAAGCATGTATACACTAGGGACACCAGCACGTTTGAGAACGTCTGTGTCGGGAACTCTGTCTTGTCATTTAACATGGAGGAGCCGGCGGAGACAGCACAGATGGAAGTGATTAAGCTTTCTGGCGTGCCTCTGATACACAGTCCATGTTTCACTGGCATATAGTAGGATGCTCAATACCACTGCCCGATAGACTTTCAGCTTGGTGGTTAGTCTGAGCCCTCTCCGCTCCCACACACTGTGACGGAGTCTTCGGAAAGCAGAGCTCGCACGTGCGATCCGGTGGTCAACCTCTATGTCGATGTTAGCGTCCTTCGAGAGCGTGCTTCCAAGATAGCAAAAACTCTCAACCGTCTCCAGGTTCACACCGTCAATGGATAATTCTGGATCAACTAGAGATTGACAAGGAGCAGGCTGAAGCACAACTTTCGTCTTGGAAGTGTTAATTGTAAGACCAAAATCGCCACATCCCCTTGCGAAGCAGTCGAGCTCTTGTTGCATCGTTTCGGCCGAAGTCGCACTCAGCACACAATCATCAGCAAACAACAGGTCTCTGATACTAGTCAAACGAACTTTTGTGCACACTTGCAAACGGCGAAGATTGAACAGCTTTCCATCCATTCGATATCGCAGGTGTATTCCGCTCGGACCATCCCTGAAGGCATCTGACAGCAATGCTGATAAATACATACTAAACAGTGTTGGT